TGCGGGCGCCTGCCTGGTGGGCAGCACGTGGAGACGCGGCTGGAGTCCGGCTGACCCTCTAAGCCTTCGCTTGGCCAACCGCGAGGCCACTGTTGGCCCAAGGTTTTTGGTCTATAACCGTACGCCAGCCGTGCAACTGCGATTGCCTGCTTGCCTGTGTCTGCGTTGTGTGGCAATGCGAAACAAACATATTTTTCTCGAACCACTGACCCAACGTCGTTCAACCGCATACTATCCCAGTCCGAGCCAGGACGATACAATTCGCGGTCCAAACATTCAATGATAATTTCAAGTTTCGTCAGCACTAGATTTGCACTGCACAGCACAGCCCCCGTGCCCGTCTCGTGCCAGGCGGATCCTTCCACGCCATGGGCCGCCACGATCCCTCTTACTCCTCCTCCTTCGGGGGGGACGTCCGCCTCGTCCTGGCCTTGGTCCTCGGCTGCACATTGAATTTGCATTTAAAATTTGACGTAGGGTCTCCGCTGCTCCTGCTGCTGGATGGCGCAAGCTAAAATCTGCGGCATGGTTTGTATTTCCCCGGTATTTCTCGGGAGGCAGAGGCGGGGCAGCGGCGGCTGCTCACGCGAAATGAAAGGCTCAACATATTGTGACGCAGCAGAACCGAGGCGAACGTTTTTTTTTTCTTCTCGTTTTTGTTTTTTAGACGTTGAAAGAAGTGGTCGTTGGCGCTGGCGCAAGAACACGGTACATAGCTGGAAAGGGACGCCAGAAACGGTCCTCTTTAAAAAGTTTCAAACTAGCGGCTGCGGTGTCCATGCTGGTGCGCCCAACCCCGCCGCGGCTGCTTCCGGGGCTGCTTCACACCAGACGCCCCCATAACCATGGCAACACCACAACCACGGGCACGGTGGTGTCGAACCATTCTCGCCATAGATCACCCTATGCCGCCGCGCCCGCCACTGCCCCCCGGCTCCACCCCCCACCTACCGCTCGCCAATACATGCTACGAGAATCTGAATGCAGCACTGTGCCCGCCAGTGGGGTGGGGTGGGGTTGGTGGTTGAATACACGATATTTGCCGGCAAATCGGCCCACCCACGGCCCCGCCCCGCCTCTCCCCGCCTCGCCCCCTCCGCCCCGCCCGCGCTGCTCGCTGGACGAGAGGCTCCGGGCGGCCGGAGCCAAAAGCCGATGCGTCAACGCCGAGCCGTTTGGAATTCCGAGCGCGTTTCGGACCAAACGCGCTCCAGTACATACGTACACCTACACGAGCGAGGGCGGGAGTACTTTTAAAAAGCTTGCACAGGTTATATTTTAGATTGCGCGGTTTATATCAACGGCAGATTTTTATTTTGAGACTATGTGTGTCATAGTGATAAAAACTACACCAGAAATTGTTAAACGGCCAATGAGAGTAGTTGACGACCCGTCGACACTCGTGGATACAAAATGTCGCAAAATATGAACCAATTAGATAATAAGGTTAGATCTTGACTTCTTACGCTCTCACATTTCGCAGCCTAAGAGTTAATGACCTTCTTTTCACAGTGCGGCGAAGACGAACGAAACGGAACGCGGGTCGATATACCAGATCAACTTCCGGGGGTTTTTCAAATCGCCGCTCACACTGCCACCTACTTTAGCTTTACCACCGCCCATGAATTTTTATGTCGGTTATAATTTTTTTTGAAAATCGATTAAGAGGGGCAAAAGGATGAAATAATTACGCTCCCGTGTTGAGCATATAGGGATGAGGATGCGCGATATCGCGCGAGTTTTCCTGGCGTGTATTGTGAGTAAATAATAGAGATGGAAATTGCAATTCGGTGCGGCCTCGGCCAGGGGGCGGCCGAACCCCCGCCGCGCCCCGCCACACCCCGCCACACCCTACCACACCCCCCACCACCCCACCACACCCCGCCGCACCCCAGCGCGCGGGGGAGCGGCCACACCCCGTGCGGCGCGGCGGCCGTGGGCCCCCAGGGTGGGACAGATCACGAGCCAACGAGAGCCCCCGCCGCCGCCGGACCAACCGGACCGCAAAAGCCGCACCGCGGAAAACGAATTGAAAATTCAGACTCTTGTGTGACGCCGAGGCTAATCACGGTGGCCGCCTCCATCATTTATCCTATCCGGCGCATCATTACCATTTCCGTTTTCTCCCTCGGCGAACGCGACGCTCAGGGCGGCACCGCGCTCACTGCCGACGAGGGCACGCCACGCTGCACTCTCTGCTGTTTCGCGCGCGCACGATGTGTGCTGTAGGCGAACTGCGTCGGGTGAAAGCGCTGCAGCACTGTTCTGCCCGGCTTATTGCATTTTGCACTTTTCATAAATCGTTGTCGAGACGCGCGCGCATACAAGTAGGGGAGGAGTGCCGCGCAAGCAGACACTCTTGTGTCGCGCACAGCTCGCGGCGGCGTCGGTTTGGAACCTGCTCTCGCGGGATGCATACGGCTAACCGGTGCGAACAGAGCTGCGGCGGGTGTCGTGGCAGAGCGAAGAGGGGGAGGGGGGCGGGGGGCAAAGTGGTTATGTAGGCGGGCAGCGGCGCCTCGTTGCGAGGAGGCACAGACCTCACACTCCGTCACCCGCGCTTAAATGATTCATTCTGCCCCCCCCCTTTTTAACTCACACACAGGAAACATGATGCGTGAAATTACTGTAAGGCAAAACGTACATACTCGTTGTCACACTGCAATCTGATTTCCTCTGTACGCCAACGTAGTTTCGTTTTCAATGCCGGTTTACCGGTTTGGTCAACGACAAAATTTATGCATATCTGTATCTTAATATTATTTTGCCTAGTAATACTGGGGTAGATGCATAAATTATGCGTATTCATTTTTAATCCTTACACTTTGTCGACTTTGTTTAGTAATAAATTGTTTGTGCGTCCAGAGCTCTGGAGTCCTAGGACTCCACGCAGTTGTTGTGCTCCATGTAAGAGCACTGTGCGCTGCAACACGCGGGTCATAAATGGATTAACCCAGCTCTGTTCTGGTCCAGTTTTTAATCATCGCCGGGAAAGCAATTACGTCGTGTGAAAGTTGACCCCAGTACACGTTAAATGCAAAGGGACAATTTCCTCTAAAGTGCTGCGTTATAAGTACCAACTTTTGCCGTGACAAGATTATTATGATTTATTGCGACGACCTTCATCCCACATGGTTCAATCCGTCAAAAACAAATATTTGAAAAAAAATTCAAGGTCATGGAGAGCTTCAAAGCGCAACATTTCATTAGACAAAATTATACTTTTATGTAGACGTACTTGGGTAGCACGCACAACAGCGTGTGCAATGGACATATTGCTTTCACCCGGAACCCGGAAGTTTCAGTCAATTCAACAAAGTCTCAAAATTTCGCGCAGCAGGTTTGCCAAACCAAACTGAGCGGAAATACCTTTTGCGCAGGTCGGCCGCACACACAAGTTACGGTGCGCTATCGGTAACAGCCTTTCCGACAAAATAGCAGGCTATTCCGATGATGCCTGTCCTGCTATTAGTGAGGCAAAGCGGGGAAATGCTCCTGGAGCAACTGTAGGCGGTGCGTTCGACCTGCGACCCAGCGGGAGTCAGGTTGAAACCAGTGTAGGTATATTCTGCTCTCTTTTCCGTCGGTCACGGGACAACACATCGTCGGAACTGCCTCATATTGCCATCGATAGAGTGGCCAGAGCCAGAGGCCGGCGCACTGTAGCAGAGGCAGGGGCACGCCCAAATCGCCCCTTGTGCCCCTTATAGATAAACGGGTGCAGTAACGCCGGCGGCAGCCCGCCCAGCTCCGTCACGGTGTTGCTTCCGTGAGGAAGGCGGGGCGGCGGCGGCACGGCAGGTGAGCGCCAGCGCGCCCCCGCCGCCCACAACGACAGCCTCCGGGAGGTCGACGCGCGCTTGCAAACACCGGGCACTACTTCACCGCCCGGTCAGCCACTGCTGTGGCACTGCGGAGGGGTCAGCTACTCATCCACGGGGAGCTGCGGTGTGTAATCCAAAGGGTAATCCACTCCGTACCTTCAGCAAGGCGGCGCGCCGCGGCCGGCACGACACGCAGCCAGCATGGCGGCACACGCACTCACACACACTCACACACGCACGGCACGCACTCGCACGCGCATACACACACACACAGCTCGGCGCTCGCTCGTGGCGTGGTGCGGCTCGCGGCTGGGCGGGGCGGGGCGTCGCGACGCGTCACTACTGCTGGGCTCCGCTCGCGGCGCCGTCCGACTCGCAACTGAGGGCCGCCGCGCGCTCCGGCCGGGGAGGGGCGAGGGTGGCGTCGCGCCGGGGGTATCGCTGCCGCCTCCCCCGCGCCGCCAGAGCCCTGGTGCGAGCTCGGCGCGCCCGGCGCGCCCCGGCCCCCGGGACCATGCTTAGGACGGGGTCCACGACTGTGGCCACCAGGGCGGTGGCGGACCCGGATCGTGCAAAGGGCGCAGGACTGCGGTGACCAGGAAGGCGAAGGGCGAATGTTTGTGGGAATAGGCATGTGTTTATACATTTTTCCGATACGGGAAAAATTTGAATCAAGAACCGATTATGGAAGCGGATGATAACAAGGTAGACGCACGTTAAAACCGTGTGAAGCTGAGCTAAATGTGCGTCTACCTTGGCCTGCGGCGCGCTAAAATTAAAACGTTTTCGCGATTTTAGTTGGCATGCCTGTCCATCTCACATCCCACGTCTCACGCCAGGCGCCTCACTTCACGCCGTCTTCCGGGCGGTCTCCCCTTGCGCTTCCTGACAGAGCTGAGCATTTAAAGTTAAAGTTTAAGTTCAAGTAAAGCTCAGCAATAATTTAAGAAGAGGAAGAGAGTCGTGGTCTTACTCTTCTGTATCTAGAAATGTTTGCCTAGCAAATCAGGTGGCCTCCTAGTGGTGTAGAGGGGGAGGAGGGGGAGGGGGCGTAGGCCCAGCATTTTTTTGTTGGTATCGGGGCACGCCGTGACCGGCGAGTGAAAATTCGGACGCTCTACATGCATGTCATGATCGACCTTGTGCCTCAACTCGTTAAACACGACTGAAGCTTACTTGTTTAAGCACGATGTCATATGTTAGTTCCAGTTTGAAATGTTTTAAATGTGTCATCGGCGAATAAGTTTCAGTGTGATATGTTTTAAATGTAGTTATGGGGTCATGTGAACTCCACTCATGGTGGTCCCGATTCCTTTTTGGACCTCATATTAATTCTACTATAGCCCTTATTCTGATTTTTTGTTGTGTGGCTGGAAGAAGAGAGTCGAGAGAGGGTGAGATCGGGAAAGGCGTGTGGGGAGAGCGGCTGCGTTGGTGTCAAGTACGGCGGCGCGCCATGAGAATTAATATCGAGCAAAGGTCTCATTATCGGTGGGCCACCCTGCGGCCACCCTGCGGGGTGTGTGCGTGGGGAACCCCGCTCCGCGGAGGGAGGGAGGGGTTGGTCTCAAAGGAGTCACTGAATGGATCAATGAATAAACGAAACGAGTGAGTGAATCAATGAATGAATCCCCCCATGACTCGCTCACTGACGAATTGGCAGCCGTGCGGCCGATCGCGGTCCTTGGAACATTGTCCACGCTGTCCGGATTGAAATTAAATTGATGGAAATTAGGCAGATTCGCATCTACATCCATTTGGGAGCTAATTGGGGCTCCGGCGCCACCCTACGCCCCCCGCTGTACCATCGGCCCCGTCGCCCTGTCCCCCCCTCGCTGTAGGGTGGGGGGCGCCACCCCTGGCTCTGTTCACTGACGCTGTCGCGTCCGCCGTTTGTTGGCCGCGGCCCACACCCGCCTCTTCGAACGCTTGGCGCAGCCACACATCGAGGGCTGTGAGCTGGTCCTACTTTGAAAATCCAACAGCGCGCGGGACAGTTGCAAAGCGTTTGGCTAATCGGGTTTGTGTTCTGTTCTACGTTGGCAGAGTAGTAGGACTCCCCGGTGAAAGGATCTACGTGTGGTATACAGTTGAACTGAACTTGGACCGCACCTAAATGACCACCCTTTACGCAAAGAAACATTGTAAATTAAAAGTTTTAGTGTTTAAGTGCAGTTCGACTACGTCACAAGCAAAAATATCTGCTGTTGGATTGCAGATAAAACTGCAGATACTTACTATTGTATCCCATCGTGTTTTCAATGTGGACTGGTATCTGCATCAGGCTGTCCTCGTCGTGGACGCGCGTGTCACGAACGAACCGTCACGACTCACAGACCGCGTGTCACGTACTATCGTCACCCTCGTCACACGGACCTGCCTCACATGGACTTCTGCCGTCGGCCGCCTGCACTTGGCCGTCGGCCGCCTGCACTTGGCCGTCGGCCGCCTGCACTTGGCCGGCGGACGCTGTGCCCGGCCGCCGGGGCTCCTCCTCATTGTTCAATTAGCCGGCACAAAGGCCGCCCTCGACCGCCCAGTGATGAGCGCTGAACGTGCGCATTATCGACTTATGAAGAATTACGAGCGGCGCACGCGGCTGCACTCGGCTCCAGGACCAAGGCCCGACCGCTGACGAGGACCTCCCCCCTTCCTCCTTTATTGCCGAGACATCAGATGTTATTAGTAATGCCATTGCCAGAGTGGTCAACGCGGGGCGTGGCCGTGGCGGAGGGGCGCGGCGCGGCTGGGGCGGGAGAGGGGGAGCTCAGCTGCCCTCCGTCCGCTCCAGATGATTCATCCCCATCCCCTTTCTGCTGCTCTCTCCGGAAACACTGCCGCCCCCTCCTGCACCCCTCCCCCCTCGTTCCCCGCCCCCCTTCGCGCGTTGCGCTGGCCACAATCCCACCCTTGGCTGGTCATTGATAGTTGTGTGAGCCGGATGGGCCGCTACGCTACGCCACCCCGCCCCGCGCTTCTGCCCCACACAACTCCACCCCACCTGACCCCACCCCACTCCACCTCGGCAGGGAGTCCGCAGAGGTGCGCAAGGCCACCGCCGCGTGATGGAGCGCCCGGCACATTTACCGTGTTGTGGCCACAGAGAGCCACTTCTTGAACTAGAGCAACGCCGAGGGCGGCCGGTCGTGCCTCCTCCCGTCAGAGAAGGTCCCGATTGGAGACGCGACTGCATACGTTGTCATAATGTTACGAGGCCATGCATGGCCCCAGGGCACGGTGTCCCCCGCCACGCACCGCTACGTCCACGCTACGTTCCGCCAAGTCCCACCACGTCCCGCCACGCTCCGCCCCGCTACGCCACACGCGGCCCTTTCACTGCCATGCGAATTACGTCGCTGGAGGGCACAAGAGTAAACAAAGCACACGCAGCGACCGCGCCACGCTACGCCACGAGAGCGATCGGCGCAGCCACAAATTACAACCCCTTGCCTGCCTCCCCCAACAGCTTTGCGCGCCCGCGGACTACAAGTAGTCTCACGCCGACCGGTTTCAATATTGCGTCCGGTAAACGCGGTAACGCCCCTCAGAGGGTCGTCTGTGGTCACGGTCGAGTGTGGGTGGAGCAAAGCTGTGCCCGCGAAGCGGCCCCTCTGTTTGGCTCTGAGTTACCCTTCACTTCCCAAACTCCCTCTACTCTACAGAAAAGTAGGCTACTAGCCCGACCAGCCTACAACTGAACTGAAAACATCAGTTGGGGAGTGTACCCCAAAATGCAAGATTGTTAGATTGCTAAGACGAATATTTTGCTTTTCGGACATGAACCACCTGTAACTCAGCCAAACACATTGCTTGCACCCTGAATGTAGGCAAAAGATCGTTTGCTTTAAATCTAGTACAAAAGAAAATCTTTCATAGAAATGATGCTTTTGATTACGACCATCACTGCACGAACCGAGTTCCCAATGTGGATAGGCGAGCGGCAGCGCTAGCTTTTACCTCCGGGGTCCGGTTGTGATTTGATTCATAGGAAGAAATTTTTTATTTTAGGAATATTGTTTTTCATGTAAGAGAAGGCTGCTTTGTCTCAAATAAAGCCTCTTTAAATTAAAGAAATGATTGAAATTAATGAAGGTGCAAGCCTCTTTAAATGAAAGAAATGATTGAAATTAATGAAGGTGCAAGTCGTTTTAAAGTGTCAGAGAACGATCTGATGAGTTGAGCTCTGCGGGCCAGCGCGCCGACGAGGTAGGCAGCCCATCGTGCTCCATAGTGCTACGGGCACGCGTTGTCTCCGGCGCTAGCCTCAGTCTGAGGTTGCTGTTAGTATACACCAGTTACGTCTTTCCTAACAGGAGTCGTCATCTATTCCATAACTGCGGAACAGACATAAAATTGCGAACTTTTGCAATTACAAACAATTTGGCAGCAGCAAAGCTTACAAACACAATAGTTTGCAATATGAAGGATTTCCCTCGAAAGTTTCGAAATTCTTTGCAAGTTTTTCAGAGTATACATTATTTACCTTCAGGTAGACTAGTCCACTATGAGAAATCGTGCGCTCAAACTGGTGGTAGTGGTTTGGGTTAGATTTTGCAATTACATCAAGTCGTATTATCTCTTGAAATTAGATTTTATTCAAGCTATTATTGTCGGTATCAAACATGAATGGTCCGGCACCTGATCGGTTTATTTCTCATAGTGGACTTGGAGCGTGCTGCACCCTGGCGGCTGGAGCTGGAAGCAGCGCCTCCGCTCAGGCCTCATTAATTCGTCGTTTAACGATAATCATCTGTCACGAGACTTAACTAGTAGTATTCATCAAATCTGTGTACAAATTGTTCTTAGTTCGATCTAATGTAGTCATTTTATCAGGATGATAGTTTGCGTCAAAAGTCCTTGTGTACGAGACCGGTGTTTGCGTAAATCAACCGAGTTACAATCTTTCGTCTCTTTACGAACATTTTCATTCTTTTAAAACTACGAGGGGTTTGTTTAGAAAAATAATAAAAAGGCCAGTTTTCGTAATTTCACCATGGAAATTACATTACAAAGGTAGATATTTCAAAGAAGATGGCCGACGCAGGTTAGTCGCCACGTAACTGTGCTTCGTAAGACAACGTGACCATCCCCTCACGAACCGGGTTCCCATGGTGGTTAGGCGGGCAAAGCTAGTTTTCACCCGTTTTTACCGGGCTATGGATGTGATTGGAGCGCGGGTAGTACGCCCGCGCTCTGTACCCGCCCAAACCGCTTCCAATAATTCTAAGGGGTGGAGTTGGGGGTTACCATTTTAAGTCGTGTCGGGAGAAGGGTCATGCTCCCGTGTGCCCTGGGCCCTAGGCGCCAGCAATGCAATGCACCCCCACCCCCACCTCGGGCTTTAACCAGTTCAGCTCGCCATAAATCGGCCGCGG